CAAAACTCAACCGATTTTCAAAAGGTTTGGCTTTTTGTCCATGGTTTGGCCTCTTAATCAATTTGGCATTCAAATCTGACAACATAAATTATGGTCAAAATTCATGTGAAAATGGTACCTTCAAATATCCTACATATACATATACCCTATATGGAAATATATATCAAAATTTCCCACTCCCATAACTCGATCAAAACTCAACCGATGTTCAAATGGTTTGGCTTTTTGTCCATGGTTTGACCTCATTATCAATTTGGCATTCAAATCTGACAACATAAATTTTGGTTAAAATTCATGTGAAAATGGTACCTTCAAATATCCTACATATACATGTATCCTATATATCAAAATTTCCCACTCCCATAACTCGGTCAAAAGTCAACCGATTTTCAAAAGGTTTGGCTTTTTATCCATGGTTTGGCCTCTTGATCAATTTGGCATTCAAATCTGACAACATAAATTTTGGTCAAAATTCATGTGAAAATGGTACCTTCAAATATCCTACATATACATATATCCTATATATCAAAATTTCCCACTCCCATAACTCGGTCAAAAGTCAACCGATTTTCAAAAGGTTTGGCTTTTTGTCCATGGTTTGGCCTCTTAATCAATTTGGCATTCAAATCTGACAACATAAATTTTGGTCACAATTCATGTGAAAATGGTACCCTCAAATATCCTACATATACATATATCCTATAGGTAAAAATTTCCCACTCCCATAACTCGATCAAAACTCAACCGATTTTCAAAAGGTTTGGCTTTTTGTCCATGGTTTGGCCTCTTAATCAATTTGGCATTCAAATCTGACAACATAAATTCTGGTCAAAATTTATGTGAAAATGGTACCTTCAAATATCCTACATATACATGTATCCTATATATCAAAATTTCCCACTCCCATAACTCGGTCAAAAGTCAACCGATTTTCAAAAGGTTTGGCTTTTTATCCATGGTTTGGCCTCTTAGTCAATTTGACATTCAAATCTGACAACATAAATTTTGGTCACAATTCATGTGAAAATGGTACCCTCAAATATCCTACATATACCCTATAGGTCAATATTTCCCACTTCCATAACTCGATCAAAACTCAACCGATTTTCAAAAGGTTTGGCTTTTTGTCCATGGTTTGGCCTCTTAATCAATTTGGCATTCAAATCTGACAACATAAATTATGGTCAAAATTCATGTGAAAATGGTACCTTCAAATATCCTACATATACATATACCCTATATGGAAATATATATCAAAATTTCCCACTCCCATAACTCGATCAAAACTCAACCGATGTTCAAATGGTTTGGCTTTTTGTCCATGGTTTGACCTCATTATCAATTTGGCATTCAAATCTGACAACATAAATTTTGGTTAAAATTCATGTGAAAATGGTACCTTCAAATATCCTACATATACATATATCCTATATATCAAAATTTCCCACTCCCATAACTCGGTCAAAAGTCAACCGATTTTCAAAAGGTTTGGCTTTTTATCCATGGTTTGGCCTCTTGATCAATTTGGCATTCAAATCTGACAACATAAATTTTGGTCAAAATTCATGTGAAAATGGTACCTTCAAATATCCTACATATACATATATCCTATATGGAGATATAGGTAACAATTTCCCACTCCCATAACTCGGTCAAAACTCAACCGATTTTCAAAAGGTTTGGCTCCTTGTGCATGGTTTGGCCTCTTAATCAATTTGGCATTCAAATCTGACAACATTAATTTTGGTCAAAATTCATGTGAAAATGGTGCCCTCAAATATCCTACATATGCATATACCCTATATGGAAATAAATATCAAAATTTCCCACTCCCATAACTCTGTCAAAACTCAACCGATTTTCAAAAGGTTTGGCTTTTTGTGCATGGTTTGGCCTGTTAATCAATTTGGCATTCAAATCTGACAACATAAATTTTGGTCAAAATTCATGTGAAAATGGTACCCTCAAATATCCTACATATACATATACCCTATATGGAAATAAATATCAAAATTTCCCACTCCCATAACTCGGTCAAAACTCAACCGATTTTCAAAAGGTTTGGCTTTTTGTGCATGGTTTGGCCTGTTAATCAATTTGGCATTCAAATCTGACAACATAAATTTTGGTCACAATTCATGTGAAAATGGTACCTTCAAATATCCTACATATACATATACCCTATATGGAAATAAATATCAAAATTTCCCACTCCCATAACTCGGTCAAAACTCAACCGATTTTCAAAAGGTTTGGCTTTTTTTCCATGGGTTGGCCTCTTAATCAATTTGGCATTCAAATCTGACAACATAAATTTTGGTCAAAATTCATGTCTAAATGGTACCTTCAAATATCCTACATATACATATATCCTATATATCAAAATTTCCCACTCCCATAACTCGGTCAAAAGTCAACCGATTTTCAAAAGGTTTGGCTTTTTGTGCATGGTTTGGCCTCTTAATCAATTTGGCATTCAAATCTGACAACATAAATTTTGGTCAAAATTCATGTGAAAATGGTACCCTCAAATATCCTACATATGCATATATCCTATATGGAGATATAGGTAAAAATTTCCCACTCCCATAACTCGGTCAAAACTCAACCGATTTTCAAAAGGTTTGGCTTTTTGTCCATGGTTTGGCCTCTTAATCAATTTGGCATTCAAATCTGACAACATAAATTTTGGTCAAAATTCATGTCTAAATGGTACCTTCAAATATCCTACATATACATATATCCTATATATCAAAATTTCCCACTCCCATAACTCGGTCAAAACTCAACCGATTTTCAAAAGGTTTGGCTTTTTGTCCATGGTTTGGCCTCTTAATCAATTTGGCATTCAAATCTGACAACATTAATTTTGGTCACAATTCATGTGAAAATGGTACCCTCAAATATCCTACATATACATATACCCTATATGGAAGTATATATCAAAATTTCCCACTCCCGTAACTCGGTCAAAACTCAAGCAATTTTCAAAAGGTTTGGCTTTTTGTCCTTGGTTTGGCCTCATTATCAATTTGGCATTCAAATCTGACAACATAAATTTTGGTCAAAATTTATGTGAAAATGGTACCCTCATATCCTACATATATGTACATATACCCTATATGGAAATGTATGTCAAAATTTCCCACTCCCATAACTCGGTCAAAACTCAACCAATTTTCAAAAGGTTTGGCTTTTTGTCAATTTTTTGACGTCATTATCAACTTGGCATTCAAATCTGACAACATTAATTTTGGTCACAATTCATGTGAAAATGGTACCCTCAAATATCCTACATATACATATATCCTATAGGTCAATATTTTCCACTCCCATAACTCGATCAAAACTCAACCGATTTTCAAAAGGTTTGGCTTTTTGTGCATGGTTTGGCCTCATTATCAATTTGGTATTCAAATCTGACAACATTAATTTTGGTCAAAATTTATGTGAAAATGTTAGCCTCAAATATCCTATATAGACATATGAAATGACTTCGTCAAAGCGTCGAACTAACAAGTGGCTGGCTTGAATTCAGCAGCATTTTTGGGCTTTTCTAATTATTTATTTTTTTTTGCTGGTATTCACGAACAAAAACAAGAATAATTAATAAAAAATAAAAAAAGAACAATGAAGTATTCGAACATGTTGTCGTATATGTGTGAAGTTACAAAAACATTGTCAGAACTACACTTATATTTTCGCTATAATTTTTTTGATTATATATATTTTTAGCGTACAATCAGAATTATGCCTCAACTTTGAACAAATTTATTTCAGCTCGGATGAATTTAGTTATGCTAAATGGAAAAGTGTATGCAACCAAATTATAGGTTAGCTATAGTTAATTATTATTAGGAATATTTAGTGGATAACTAACCTATGTTTAGCCATGGCTAGTTATTCCACATGTTAAATAAAATGACTGGAATCAGTCCAGACGTATTGCCCGATTTGCATGTTCGGAATTTAGCGACAATTTCCTGCACACATATTTAACTAGAATTTAATGAGCTACTAACTGTTTTCGGCATATATAACATTCACGATTTCTTTTTTTTTTTGTTCGTCAAAGTCACGCAAATTCCGGATCAACAATTGGGCTGAGGCACGCCAAGTTTTTCAGGCTGTTAACTAATTGAAAAGAAGAAACTAACTAATTGAAAAAGTACTCGATTTGAAGATACCCCGTACAGTCGAACTCTGTGCCTTGCAATAATCACAATGGCACATAAAGGATCACACACAGACAAACAAGCACGCATGCTTCTCCCTTCTTAACCCTTACAATAATATATAGAGAATGCCTACTTGAATAACTTCGGCGCTTATAGTCCGATCGTTATGAAATTTTTAGCTCTCTAATATGACATATAAATGTGTGTAAATACCAAGGCCCACGATTGTACCTTTATAAATACTTTGTTTTCTTATTCTTTTACTTTAGGGGAATAGGGAAAAGTATCCAAACAGTGAAATATGTGAAATCTCTTTATGCAAAGCGAAAACTCTTATAAGTTGCGAGCTATGGTACAAATAAATCTGATCTTCTCGTTGATATTCAAAATTCGTTCAAAATGTGTGAACTTTCAATAAAATATACTGATAAATGTATATAAATATAACATAAAATCAAAATGAACTTGATTTGCGCAGGCAATAATTGGATCTGCATTCCAAATTTAAAGCCTTTAGTTATTTTGGGATAAGAGACGTCGTGTTGCACTTGCAAGAACCGTAAGACCCACTTAAGTCCATTCTCAATGGGTGTAGGGTACAAGAAAATGATGCAATTATTCAATGGAAGGGTAACAACAGTCTTCTTATCCAGTCAGACGTATTAACCATGGCTTTAAAGAGCAACAGCTGTTTTAACAAAGCCCAAGTTTTAGCGGGCGAGTTGGCAAACTGGCCACCAGACCTAGACCCAGACAGCCGGTTTTTTCAGCACAACAGCAATCTGGCTTGGTGCCTACTTAAGTGGCTTTTAAGAGCAGAGCAACACAGTCTTGACGCTGCAACCGCCATGTGGACCAAGTGCAGTCGTTTGCTGTGCCTCTGCCTGTGCGTGGGCCAGTGCCTGCTGGTCATTGGCAATCCGTCGGAAACGAATGTGAGCAAGTTCCTCAGGCACTTGGACGTTATACCCGATCTTATAGATGTGGGACCCCAAGAGTTTCTCAATGTAAGATTAGCCCAAATGAAATGAACTCTCGCTAATCTCTAACCCTCTTGTGACCAGGTCACCTACATGGGCAACATACGTGCCGATCGCGGGGTCGAGCTGCAGCCGCTGCAGGTGCGGGATGAGCCGACGGTCCAGTGGATCGCCGGCAAGGATGATTACTATACGCTGCTGATGACCGATCCGGATGTGCCAGAGAAAATGTATCCGCAGCTCAAGGAGTATCTGCACTGGCTGGTCGTCAATATACCTGGCGGCCAAATGTCGCTCGGTGATGTCCGTGTTGGTTATGTGGGCGCCACGCCCCCCAAAGGCAGTGGGCTACATCGTTACGTGTTTCTGCTGTACAAGCAGCCGGATTATCTAAACTTCGACATCGAACATGTGCCCAAGCACAGCGAGAGCAGCCGCATCAAATTCAGTACCCGACAATTTGTGCGCAAGTATAATCTAGGCTTCCCCCTGGCTGGCAATTTCTTTACCAGCGAGTGGAGCAAAGATGTGCCGAGCTTGCACAAGGCCTTCCAGACCAATGGAGAGACGTTGTCGTTTTAGGTAATCAGCAATGCCCCAGCTCTTGGCCGGTTTTGTTGGATTGCCCAAGATGCGCATAAATTAAGCTAAAGCTAAGCTGCGATATCAGCTTATTGTCAAATCGTACACTGTAAATAAATTGTCACAAACATATGGCCTGACAGTTCTATCGAAATCGAATTTTTCACTTGGAATATTCAACTCAACTATGGCTGAGGCCGTCGAGTCCTTTGCCAAGCACAAGATTGTGCCCGATGTGGTGCAGGTGGCGCCCATGAAACTGCTCAAGGTAGGCTGACCCGATTCCTGGCCACAAAAACTGACCACCTGCTGGCTGCCTTTTAGGTGACCTATGCGGGCGGCCTGGACGTGAACAATGGCAACGAACTGACGCCCACCCAGGTGAAGAGCGCCCCACAGCTGGAGTGGTCCACCGAACCGGATGCCCTCTATACGGTGCTGCTCACCGATCCGGATGCGCCCAGCCGCAAGGAGCCCAAGTTTCGTGAATGGCATCATTGGCTGGTCGTCAATGTGCCCGGCACACAGATCGACAAAGGCGAAGTGCTCAGCGCCTATGTGGGCTCCGGGCCGCCACAGGGCACCGGACTGCATCGCTATGTCTTTCTGATCTTCAAGCAGCCGCAGAAGCTGTCCTGCAATGAGCCGCGCATACCCAAGACGAGCGGCGACAAGCGCGGCAAATTTAATACCATCAAATTTGCCAGCAAATACCAGCTGGGCAATCCCATTGCCGGCAATTTCTACCAGGCACAGTGGGACAATTATGTGCCCAAGTTGTACAAACAGCTGTCGGGCAAATGATATTATTATATGCTCTTCTGTTTTTTGCTTGTGCTAAATGAGCAAGTGCATACGTTAATTAACATAACAAATTTGCGTGCATTCAAATATGTGTCATTAAATAGATTTCCCGGAACGTTCGGCCCCAGCTAACAGCTGCCAGCGCCAGCGATTTATAAGCCCAGATTCAAGTCAAACGAGTTTCAGTTGTTCGCAGAGCGCGTCGACGAGCAGGTCATATTTCAGCCTGGACTCTATTTGTATACACAAAACGGGTATATTCGTTCTGTCCAACTGTTTGTCTGTCTGTGTGAATGTAAGCTCTTGTCGTCGCTTTTCACGTTACAAACTTCACTTTGTTCAAATATTCGTTCATTGTGTACAAATTATGTGACTACGCCCACTGACAAAATTGTGTGTACATATATTTTGTACGGTTTTCGAGAGGATTACGCATTAGCTGCTCTAAAGAGCAAGCTATAAGTACGGGAGTAGGTGTCTCTCAACCCACATGGAGCTCGTGACAAATGGCCAAAGTTTGTATCTTATACTACGAACTACGGATAAATAGCTCCACAGTTCGGATATAGCCTGCCTTGAGCTGTTATTGAACATTGCGCAGTCAGCTTTGTCAGACTGCAACATTGCCAGTTGTTAACTTTAATTAAATTAGTTTCGCTTTTTTTACGCTCCATTTTGGTTTAGCTAGAAAAATGTTGCGGCTTGCTGTGGCAATTGCCAGCATTCTGGCCGTGCACAGCTCTACGGTGAACGATGCATTCAATTGGCACAAGGTGGTGCCGGATGTGATACCGGAGCCACCGCCCTATTTGCTTAAGGTGCGCCAACAAAACGCAATAAAGGGTGTACAACTTAAACAAAGGCCTAAAACTTACCGTTTGCAGGTCAGCTACGATAATCGTCTGTCGGTTAAGGATGGGGACATAGTTACACCCACACAGGTTATGCATAAGCCCGTGGTGGAGTGGATGGCCGAGCCGGATACATACTACACGCTTATGATGGTCGATCCGGATGCGCCCAGCCGTTCTGAGCCCAGGCTGCGCGAATTCAAGCACTGGCTGGTAATCAATATACCCGGCAACGATGTGGACAAGGGGGATGCGCTCGCCGATTATGTGGGCTCGGGTCCGCCAAAGGATACGGGACTGCATCGATATGTATTTCTGGTATTCAAGCAGCCGAAAAAGCTGAACATCAGCGGATCGCGCGTTAGCAACAAATCACGTCGCGGCCGGACCAAATTCCATGCCTACAAATTTGCGGCGCATCATCATCTGGGCGATCCCGTGGCTGGGACCTTCTATCAGGCGGAATACGACGACTATGTGCCCATTTTGCACAGTCAGCTGAAGAACAACTGAATGCCGTGACAGCAACGTTTGTTTAATATGAATTGGTTTTATTGTTTATTATTATGAGTTTCTGCTGCCGTCTATTTGCCCGCCGCCGTGGCAAGTGGATTGCGCAGCACCAAAATAACAGAATCACCGCGCAGAAACATTTTCGATATGAAGCGATCTTTGTTAACGGGTTTCACCTTCTTTTTGCCCTTGCCCGTGCGCGGCAGCTCCGTCCACATCTCCTTCACATTCTCCAAAACCATGTTGCAATGGCGATCGAAGGCTTTGACGCGGCCGAGCAACTTTTTGTTGTTGCGGCAATTGATGAGTACCTGTGTGTTGTTTTTAACCGACTGTGTCAGCACCGAGAGTGGTCCGGTGTTGAACTCCTCCTCCTCCTGGCGGGCCAGCTCCTCCGGCGTCAGTTCGGATTTCGGTTTAACGAGAGCCCTGCGAAAAATTGCAGTTCAAGTTTTGTTTGGTACAACAACAACAAGAACAACGGGACATGTCGGCCGCACATGTTGCCGCTGCTTTGCAGGCGCTTTGCGCAATGAAACTTACATGTTGGTGGGTTTATGGCAGCTTATTTGTTACAAATGCGAATCGTGTCTAAACAATTTATGCAGTAAATTAATATTATTGACCAAAACGTTTGCGCCTCGCGGCTTCTTTTCCGTGCTTAAAAAATGCTATATTAACTATCGATTGCCACTATCGATAAGCGCACAAATCTCACTGACGCGCATTAAAGCGTTGCCACCTGGCACGAAATGCAGCCATTTCGAATTCTGTTGTTCGATTAACATCGTTTAAAGGTGCAAAAACACTTGTAACAATATACAAAGTCTAAAGTAGCCGCACTTACCAGTCTAAAATGTTTCCAAAACAAGTAATTCGCTGCATTGCTCAGCTGTCTTCCCATACGTGTTGTGGTACTTTAACGCTTATCACATACGGTCACACTGCACTCACCATTTGTTATTGTCTGCTTAAATCGAGGTAAGCTTTTGGCGGATGGCATGGCAGAGGCAAGCGCCGCTAAGAAGCCCAAGATGACCACAGATGAAGAGCCAGCCATCAACTGCGCCCACTGGGTGCAGCGCAAGAAACGCTACTGCAAAATGACACCGAACAAGGGCAGTTTATTTTGTGGAGCACACGAGCCGCCAACAGAGCCAAGCGCAAAGAACGCGGACACGGAGCGCATACCCTGTCCACTAGATCCCAAGCATACGGTCTTCAAACGCAAGCTAGCCAAACATTTAAGCATATGCAATGCCCGCGATCAAGTCAGCACATTGCCCTATTTACACAAAAATATCAATGCTGGCGAGGAACTGGAGCCTGGCAGGCAGCAGGAGCTGAGCGACTACGAGAAGCTGAAACTGCACGAGCTGGAGGATGCAGAGTTCTATGCCGTCATAGAGAAAGTGCAGCAGCTCTACGAAACACACATAGCCGGCAACATTGAGCAGCTGCAGCTGCAGCATGCAACGCTGGAGGAGCCGCTCAGCCACAGCGAGTTTGGCCCGGAGACGCGCAAGCACCTGGTGCAAACATCTGCCTTGCTGGGCATACTGGAGCAGGATAAGCAGTTGAGCGACAACACCAGCTATATTGAATTCGGAGCTGGCAAGGGCCAGCTGGCGTTCTATCTGGCGACGGCGCTCGACACGCAACAGTTGGCCAACTCACAGCTGGTGCTGGTGGATCGCCTCTCGCTGCGCCACAAGAAGGACAACAAGCTGGCCAACAAGCAGCTGGTGCAACGCATACGCGCCGATATTGCAGACCTCAAGCTGTCGCAGCTGCCGGAGCTGCAACGCACCCAGCGCAATGTGGCGCTATCGAAGCATCTGTGTGGCGCCGCAACGGATCTGACCCTGCGCTGCGTGCTAGGCGACGCAGCGTGCACCACGAACTACATATTGATTGCCCTGTGCTGCCATCATCGTTGCTCGTGGCGCTCCTACGTGGGCAAGCAGTGGCTGCAGGCGGCGGGCGTCACACCGCGCGAGTTTGTTATCATCACCAAGATGGTTAGCTGGGCCGTGTGTGGCAGCGGCATGAGTCGCGAGCGTCGCAAGGCCCTGGCGGAGGCCACGCGGGCAGAACAGCCGCCACAGGAGCCCACTCAGAGATTGGGCCGCGAACAGCGCGAACTGATTGGCTATCAGTGCAAGCGCATCCTGGACCACGGACGACTGGAGCACCTGCGGGCGAATGGCTACCAAGCGTCGCTCAAGTTCTACGTGCCGCGCGATGTTACCTTGGAGAATGTGGTGCTCTTGGCCAAACGCGACAACATTAAGTGCAATAAAGCCTCATGATAATCTATTACTAGATTTGAAAAATCAACAAATCAAGAACTGGTTGCTTATTCAATTAAAGTTCCTTTATTATTATAAGAATCAAGTACTTAATTGCTTAACCTAAAACAAGCATAAATTAAGTACTTCACCTTTTAAGTATTCCCGTGAGGGCGGCAAACTAATTTTTGTTTAATTTTATTGCGCTAATCTGCACAATGCCGGAAAAATACGAATCAGCTGTTTTTGCTTCCAATCAAACGGTCTTCCAGTGTATACACAATTATTGTTTTTTTCTTAGCCAGGGCTGCACAACAGTGCGAACAGCTGTTGGTGAGTCAGTATTTGGAAAACAATTTCGCCCCGTTAATATTGAATTGCGCTAGAAAATTAATTGTAATCAATTTGTGCTGCGAAAATGGCTAACGAAATGGCGCACAAAATGAAGGCCATCAAATGCCCCACAGACGAACTATCGAAGACCAACAAGGCGATCGTTAATATCGCCGATTTCACCGAGGAAGTAAAGTCAGTTTCTGTTTCTGTTTCTGTTTTTGTTTGTTCAGTTTTGCTTTATTTCTGTGCGTGCAAAATGACGCCAGCTCAATGTATGTGGGCGTCTCCTTTGGAGTGAGAGTAATTCTTTTGTGTTTCGCTGATTCACTGACAGATATGTGGACATCTCGCCAGGACCTGGACAGCATTATATATTTGCGCTGGAGAAGATTGTCGATCTGCCACGTGGACATGTGGGTTTCTCACTGGTGCACCGCAAATGGGCCTCGCTCTCCATTAACCAGGAGATCGATGTGCGTCCATATCGCTTCGATGCCAGCTCCGACATTGTTACGTCCGTTTCCTTTGAGACGGACTTTCTGCAAAAGAAGATCAACACCCAGGAGCCCTACGATTCGGATGAAATGGCCAAGGAGTTCATCATGAAGTTTGCCGGCATGGCCCTGACGGTAGGCCAGACACTGGTCTTTGAATTCAAGGACATGAAATTGCTTGGTTTGGCTGTAAAGACGCTCGAAGCCGTCGATCCCAGAACTGTTGGTGACGGCAAGGAGCCAAAGACGCGCAACGTCCGCTTTGGCCGTGTCCTGGGCAACACTGTGGTGCAATTCGAGAAGGCCGAGAACTCTGTGCTGAATCTGACGGGCAGATCCAAAGGTAAAATTGTGCGACAGTCTATCATAAATCCGGACTGGGACTTTGGCAAAATGGGCATTGGCGGCCTGGACAATGAATTCAATGCCATCTTTAGACGTGCCTTCGCCTCGCGCGTCTTTCCGCCCGAGCTGGTCGAGCAGTTGGGCATCAAGCATGTGAAGGGCATATTACTCTACGGACCGCCTGGCACGGGCAAAACTTTGATGGCCCGACAGATTGGAACCATGCTGAATGCGCGTGAGCCCAAGATTGTGAACGGACCGCAGATCCTAGACAAATATGTGGGCGAATCAGAGGCCAACATACGCCGTCTGTTCGCCGATGCCGAGGAGGAGGAGAAGCGTCTCGGGCCGAACAGCGGACTGCACATTGTCATCTTCGATGAGATCGACGCCATTTGCAAGGCGCGCGGCTCTGTGGCGGGCAACAGTGGCGTCCACGACACCGTGGTCAATCAGCTGCTGGCCAAGATTGATGGCGTGGAGCAGCTGAACAACATACTGGTCATTGGCATGACCAATCGCAGGGATATGATCGATGAGGCGCTGCTTCGACCCGGCCGCCTTGAGGTTCAAATGGAAATCAGTCTGCCCGATGAGAAGGGACGCGTTCAGATTCTCGACATACACACGAAACGTATGCGCGAATTCAATAAGATTGCCAGCGATGTGGATAATAAGGAGATTGCGGCATGCACCAAGAACTTCAGCGGCGCCGAGCTGGAGGGTCTGGTGCGTGCCGCCCAGTCCACGGCCATGAATCGTCTGATCAAGGCCGATGCCAAGGTTCATGTGGATCCCGAAGCCATGGAAAAGTTGAAGGTCACACGCTCCGACTTTATGCATGCCTTGGAAAATGATATAAAGCCCGCATTCGGTGCGGCACAGGAAATGATCGAGAATATGCTCGCGCGTGGCGTCATCCACTGGGGCCAGCCGGTGACCAGCGTGCTGGAGGATGGCATGCTATACGTGCAGCAAGCGAAGGCCACAGAAAGCTCAGGTCTGGTCTCGGTGCTCATTGAGGGTGCGCCCAACTCCGGCAAATCGGCGCTGGCCGCCAATCTGGCCAAGATGAGCAACTTTCCCTTTGTCAAGGTGTGCTCGCCCGAGGATATGGTGGGCTTCACCGAGTCCGCCAAGTGCTTGCACATACGCAAGATATTCGATGATGCCTACCGCTCCACGCTCAGTTGCATTGTGGTGGACAATGTGGAGCGTCTGCTGGACTATGGACCCATTGGACCGCGCTACTCCAACCTGACGCTGCAGGCATTGCTTGTGCTGCTCAAGAAACAGCCACCGAAGGGCCGCAAGCTGCTCGTCCTGTGCACCTCCAGCCGGCGTCAGGTGCTCGAGGAAATGGAAATGCTCTCAGCATTCACCTCCGTCCTGCATGTATCCAATCTGTCCAGTCCCGATCATGTGCTCACCGTGCTGGAAGACTCGGATCTGTTCAGCCCCGAAGAGTTGCAAGTAATTGCTAGAAAAATTAGCGGCAAGCGTGTCTGGATTGGCATCAAGAAGCTGCTGGCATTAATTGACATGGTGCGGCAATCGGAGCCGGAATATCGGGTTATCAAGTTCCTTACCAAAATGGAGGAGGAGGGCGGCCTGGAGATGATGGCGAGACCGCAGTAGCTACCGCCCGTACTGGAACTGAAAATGTCAGTCGTGGAGCTCAACGATGCTTTCTGAAGCGTGTCCAACGAATTAGCTCGAATAGAGATTTGTAATACATTTTATAACGCAACCGACCACAAAACCAGAGCTAGAAACAAACACAGAGCCGACCAATTATGTGAATTAAACAACAACAAAAAAAAAACAAAAAAGAATAGAAAACAAAGTTTATTAACATTCCGCACAGAACCCAACGACTAGTCCCCTTGAGCCTTGCCGAATCCTTGTCAAATCCTTGGCATATTCCTGACTAACAGATAGTTAAATAGTTAATACGGAACCCTTCCATATGTATTTATATATACGATATTCGTTGGAAACCTCTATTGATGTCTATTTGTTTGTTAAATATTTACATTTTTTTTTTTTTGTCTATGTAAGCACAAAATAATAGTTCCAGGGACCGTAACAATTGCGTCAAATTATTTATTATCAGAGATGACGAAAGAATTAAACATAATTTGCCAATTTGTGAAATATAATTAGAGTATAAAAATAATTTAAATTTCTAATTTTAATTATACATTGCCTAATACTAATTTTAATATATGAAAATTGTAATTAGATATCTATATTTATTTGCAACCTTTCGGTCCCTGCCGCCTAGGGATTGTTATCCCTATATGCCTCGCTGTTAAGTTCAAAGTGTAAAGGATTAATATATTATACACAAACTATTTGATGGAAGCAAACATTATTGAAAGACAACTTATAATCAATTTATATTAATGTTTAATTGTCTATTTATGTATATTGAATGTATTTGGACTGTAATTTGGAGAGATTTCTCACATTTTATATAAGCACATCGACTCCTTTGGTCGTCTTGATAAAGCGCCGCCACAGCATGCTGCGGCCATTTTGGGTACTAACCGATTTACACTGCACAAAAGTAGACTATGAAAATCGGAATCTCAATTGGAAATTGGAGACATGCCAAATATGTTCCAGAGATTGTAATTCCATATTGAAGCGTTAAATAGGGCGTAGAAAAACGCAAGTATTTTTTTTTTTTTTTTTGAAATGTATTCTAAACGTTTTTGAGTGCAGCGAAGACGAAAACAAGAATAATGCATACTTGTGTGGGAAAAAAGAAAGAAAGAATGAAATAAATGCCAGATTATTGAATTAAAATAAAAATATAACAAAATTGCATAAAAATAAAAAATTACAGAAAATAAGTATCGAATTTGTTAAGTACAGTGAGATCTCCATCAACGAGAGCTTAAGTTGAGAATATTCTTAGTTCCTGTATTTTTCTTGACATCCTTCCTGTTAAAAAGACGCGGACAAAGAGAGCTTTCACCGAATATGGTTTCCGTAAGCGAGAGTCGAAACATTGCATTTAAATTATGTAGCTTAGAAAATAATGTTACAGAAAATAAATTCAAAAACGATGCAAACTTTGTGAAAATGTATTTACATGTTATTATAAACTAAAGCATAATAAACAGCATGTATTATGTGTGAGAATATTTATTTTGCGTCAACAAAATTGTAATGCTATATAAATCATAACATCGGACTAACGAGTGAAAGGTCGCCGATTCAAATCCCGCAAACAAATGTTATTGCTTAAAATGATTCATTTGACCCGAACAACGCCGGGTAATTCATCTAGTCTGTTGTAAATGCATTAAAGAACGTCTTGACATTCTTGAACTTGACTCGGGCGCCAATCATGTGGAGCAACAAATCAGAGCCAAATTGCGCAGACCCCATTTCCAGACGTCCAACTCGATCAGCTGTTGGGGAGACGCCATCGTGGGGCGACCATCGACCAGCGACAAGCTGACCCGCCACATTGGCCACTGACCAGACCGATCAGAGCCGGCCAGCTATGTAGTATGTAATTTGAATAAATGATTTATAATGTAAACATTTTAACGGGCCACCGAGTCGTATACGTAATATATGTAGATTTCTTATTTATGTATTGTAATTGATATATGTCGCTAATTGCGCGCGACGCCCATTTGACGCGCACATATGTAGCTCCATTGGCTCGGATTGGATCGGGCTGGTGAGCGCCAGCTTATCTAAGGAATCCTTGTTGTTCTTGTGGCTCCGGCGCGACAGAGTGCCAGCTGCAAGCTGCATATGGTGCTTATTAACTAATTAAAACTGCATATTTTCCGAGATGCAAAATTAATTCCTATAGAATGGCACAATTAGGCATTCGACGTGCATAAGATCAGGTAATTGCTCCCCCCTCCCTACCCCCGCTCGGTGCAGGCAACCGTGTCACGTTGACGCACGGCCAAAAAGCTAAGCCCCCAACTTCCACCCAAATATCTGGAAGTCCGGCATTCATCAAGGTGCCGCGTCATCGGGCAGCGTGCGCGCACGTATGCAAATCTTCATGACGAAAGTCCAGTCGGACAAAGTTCAGTGACCGCAGATACCTCCCCAGCTCCCCACCTCCCCACCTCCCCACCTCCCACCTCCCACCACCCAAAAAAAAAGCATAAAAAAAAAATTGAACGTCAAGTGATACCAAAATGAAATTTTCATTCAAGCGCTGCGTCGCCTCTTTAAAAATAAAATGCGAAACTTTTACAAAAGTCGAAGTTTTGTTTTTGTTTTGTACCCATTGAAAAGGTGTTAAGACGGGTATGATGGTTTGCTCGAAAAGCATGCAACAAGCAAAAGTCACCTTTAGCTAGATTTATTTATATATATTATCGATCAGAGCAATAAGCTGAATCGATCTGATGCGACCTGAAATATTTTATAAATATTCTCCCATATTATACGCAGCAAGAGTTTAGCTTTCTTTCGATATCGTCTCCCAATTTAATATCGATATATATATACATTTTGAGAAATGTTTTTTATAGCATAAATAGCATATAAGAGTAACAGAGCCTCCCATAGTAAACTAGGTTAAAATAATTTTAAATACCTCTACCCCTTCCCCCACAAAAAGAAAGGTTCCAATCTCTTTGACAACAACTTGGTATCTGCTAGTCGGGCACTCTTCACTAGAGCACTTTTACTTGTTTTTACTAATTGAAGGCGAGGGGGTGGTGCTCGCACTTGTCTGCTAAAGCTGCAGCCAAAGCTACCAAAGCCGCCCCCCCCCCCACCACCCCCTCGCAGTCACGCCCCCTCGCAACACTCTGAAACCGGCTGCGCTTATTGTTGTTGTTGTTGTTGTTGTTGTTGCTGTTAAAAGCTCAAATGCCGGCAGCAAAGGTTCGATTTCACTTTCGCACGCTGTCGCTGACGTCGCGAGTTGCTGGCGCTACAGCCGGCTGGAGGGTGGCGGGCGCGGGGGCGGGTGCTGACTGTTGGAGGGGGGGGGGGGGGGGCATCGCCGTGTAACAGGGGCAAATGCGCTGGGGTCTGGGTCTGTCTGGGGTTCAGGTTTGCGAGCCGGCCTCTGTCTGCTCTCACTGCTTTCTTTCAAATAGAGCTCGCAGCATCCGATTTATGGCTCTCCCTCTCTCTCTCTCTCTCTCTCTCTCTCCTCCTCTGTCTGACCGGATCTGCAGCACTTTGTCAGGAACCGGCTAATTGCGCACCAGGCCAGAAGAAGGAACAAAAGTCAAATACTTTTTACTCAAATAAAGCAAGAAATTGTTTAAACAGAGAAAAGTGTTCCTATATTAATAACCCTTTTCCTGGCTCGCAAAATTATTAAATAGTCTAAGAAACTTTTTACTTAGTTTAAAAAGGTTTTTATTTATATTTTTTCAAGTAAACTTTTAAGTTTTTCAAGCTTGTTTTTTATTAATTATTTATTTTATTCGTATTTATCATTATTATTATTATTCCTCTGTCAAAATATTGACCTGAGCATAAGGTTCCACGTTTAATATGCTTATTTAAAGTATATAAATTCTTATAATAAGCATATTGTTCTTAATTTTAAATAATGAACCTAATATAGCCACTTCTCACATTTCTCTCTGACTAATTTTTGGACTCAAGAGCCAAACTCTCCCATGTTCCCGTAAAGGCTATATTTAGAGTTATCTGGCTAAAATTACAGCTTTTTAGCTGGCATGCACAGGTATGTGTGTGTGTGTGCGTGTGTGTGTGTGTGTGTGTGTGTAGCTATATATAATGTCTAAATAAAAGCAAACATCATGCAAAATCTTCCTGCATTACACAAACGCGGAAGATTTTCTTGCTTTAATACTTGTACTCGCACATTTCATGGATTTTCCAGTGCTGACTGCATTTTCATGCCATTTCCATGTATGTATCTGTGTATCTATGTATCTGTATCTATGTATCTGTGTATCTGTGTGTGAGCATGTGAAACTAACAGTTAAATTAGCAGTTGCATTTTTTTCTGTTTTTTTTTTTTTTTTTTTTTTTTTTTGCATGGCGCTTCACGGCTCTGACGCTACAATTTTACAGTGCGGCCCGAAACTTTGTTTTCTTCATTTTGTTGTTGTTGTTTTTTGTTTTGTTTTCTGCAATTTATAATTAAGTTGCAATTTGGCATGCGAGCCAAGAAGTTGACGGCAGTGCCGGGTCCCAAAACTATTCATGGTATGTCTGAAATTTTCTTGGAACTTGCATGCGTATTAGTCATCAAATTGATATGGATAAAGTATTAAAAATAATTGCATTATATTATTTCGTTTATAGAAGAACAAAAAAAAAAATACCATGACTTAACCCTTTGCTGGTGCCAATATTGAATAAACTTTAAGTTGTGCGAGAAAAAAATATTTAAACAGAGCACGAAAATAAACTTATTTTATTTATAACCAAAAACAATTTTTTTACAATTTTTTTTCATAAATATTATATTTATTTAAAAACAATAATATTATTATAGTTTTTCATTTAATTCAACTCTCATGGGTTAAACCTATTTTATGTGCATTTGTGGCACAACCCACAAGTTTACAAAAACTTAAAAAGCAAAAAAAAAAAAAAAACATCACCAAATCGTCTCAGAATCAGGCAAAACAAATCAAAACTCTGCCAACTTGAGGTGAGGTAAAAAAAAATCATCGAATGCGGGAACTGCAAAGCAATCCGTGGAAATGTTTGCCGCACGCGATCGAGACATTCGCATTTCATTTCGATTCATTGATACACTCGCCACGGCAACAGCAGAACTTGGAGCAGCAGCAGCAGCAGCAAAAACTCTCGGTGCCAAATTAAATAATACGAGCTCCCTGTTCCT